TAATACAAGCTATGATCTAAACCCCTGGTATCCCCCGTAATAAGCCCTATAATACTCTCACAGAGAATCCAATGTATAACCCCCCTTTGAGGAGTTTAGACCCTAAACTCTAGACCCTGAGCCACAAACCCTAGACCCTATATAATCCATGTTAGTAGTTGTCATTTTCTTTTCGATTATCCTAATATGGCCCAAATATAACCTTAATATTACCCCAATGGGTAGCCTATGGCTCATATAACTGTCATCACCAATCTCAGGTCTGCACTTTGGGCCAGGGAAGGCCGGCTGTGCTGGAGAAGGTGCATAGGTTTGCTTGGTCTGGGTCGTCTGCTGAGACCTGCCACCACTTACTGGTGGTCAGTAAGGAAGGGAATACATTCCGTTGGGATTATTCAGGGATGTATGTAGCGATTTATATAGGGATGTACATAGGGACTACATAGGGATGATATAGCAATTATGTAGGAATTATATAAGGATTCCATAGAGATTATATAAGGATTGAATAGACATTATAGGGATTATATTCCCTTATTCCCTAGTAACCACCACTAAAGCAAAGCTCTTCGCCATAACAGGCCTCCACCCCCACATGGCTGCAGAGGCTGAGTCTCAGGAGCTAAATTGGATTGTTCTCAAAATCATGAGCCCCTTTTGGTTAGAGATTATGTTAAGGCACTTAGCATTAAGGGGTACCAAACATGGGGACCCTAATTTTGGGAACTACCCAAATCCTGTTAATTGGCTGACGTAGCTGAGAGTTATGTGTGTCTGTGAGCTTTGAGCTTCGCACTGTTCATGTTTTTTTGAGCCTGATGCCTCAAGCGCGCAATCTGACAAGGAGCACATGACCCGGTAGCCCTCATATAATCCCCACATAATCTCTGCATGGTTCTTATATAGTTCCTATATACTCCCTTTTTTTATCCCTGCAGAATATATTCCCATATTGCAAAGGCGGAGTCTTGCTTCGCACCACGGCGCTCACGAGACTTGCCCGACCTCTGCAGACTCGAGGCCACAAGCACACCACGGCGCAGTTGCTCCGAGTGTTGTAACGACTTCAGTCCCAATTTGCTTCCCAAGGATGCGTCCCTATGACGCTATTCGATAGGCTTTGCTTGTTGCATCATTTCTGTCTGTGTCGCTTCCAGCCTACCCTGGTCCCGAAGCCACGAGCAGATCCGGCGAGCGTGATGGGATTCTCATCTCTGGATGAACTTCCACGCGCAAGCCCAGGAGGAAAATGGAAGGCCATGCCAAGCACTATATATGTGTGCTACCAAATATGTGTATATATATATATACATGTATATATATATATGTATGGATACATAAATGTGGATATAAATATATATATATATATCCATATATATAGATATCCATATATATATATATATTCATATATGTATATATACATAGGCAAGGCAGTGCCATCTGGTGCGTTGGACAGCGGCGCGTTGGTCGGCACCATAGTGGCACAAAGCTCGTCCAGCGGGGTCGCAATGTCTTCGGGCTCGGTCCCCTGTTCATATACTGTAGTATACTATAATACACTATATCATACTATAATATGCTATATTATGATATAGCATGGTATATTCTAACATAAAATGCTATATTCTAGTATTATATACTATATTGTACTTTCATATGCTCTATGATACTATCATATACTATAATACGAGGCTGCCCTTGAACGGAGGCGTTTGCAGCTAGTGACCACGCTGTCTCAGTGATCTGACAAGGCCTGGAAAACTTCACGGAACTTTGCCAGAGGAATGGAGCGCGTCTCCTGCAACGATGGTGCTATTCTCTTTTAACCTTGCACCGTACTGCTTCGTTGCAGACGCCGGATATGGTGGAGCTCAGCGCCGCTCCTTGCTGATGACAATGTTGTAATTCCGCAACTTACGATCCTCGGATCCCAGGACCATGGCATGCATGAAAGAAAGTCAAGCATCTTCAAGGCCAGGCCTCACTTCAGACAAGCGGCGAAAGAGCATGTGCAGGCTCTCAGCTGGCCGTCAACCTGCGCGGCGCAACTGAGAAACTCAATGATGGATATGATGGATACCCAGCCCCGCAGACTTCCAGAAGCAGGCTTTGCACTTTCTCTCTCTAGGGTTGTGCAGGTGTCCGTCCCGCTGCGATGAAGTCCTGGATTTGTGCAGGCTGGCGACAGCAACAGCACGACGATCTGAGCACGCATGGGCCATGATTGATTCCTCATAGATGCAGGTCCTCTATCGAGTCTCTGTACTCGGGGGCAGCCATGACCTCACACCACTTCCGACTTGCCCAACTCTATGACACCATGGCTCGAACAGGATACATTTTCTGGTGCATAGCTTTCAGCGCCGCTAGAGTTGTGGCAATCGTAATTGCACTACAGTCTACAAGGCGAGTCGGGTCAAAGGCACCTCGTTGTGGCCGAGGCCTTCCAAGAGGATGAGGCGCTTCTTTGGCGAAGCTGCCGCCTGCGCAGAGGAGCTGTTTCCGAGCAGCATTTGAAGCTTGGATTACTTAAGACATCCCTATGAATTGCCCTACACACATCTCATACGGTACTGTATACTTCTATAGTAATACTCTGAGGGAGCCTCGAAGCATTGCTTTGCTTGGGCCACAGGGCAGACCACATCCGCCTAAGCAGCTACGACCGGCAATGATACTCCTCCCTTCGGGGGGCGGTGAGTTCCGGGCAGTGCCGTTGATGTAAAGGAGTGGCATCTGCAAACATCTCAGCAAATCCTTGGTTGCAACAGCTTAGTGACTGACCCAGTTGTTCCTGCAAGGGAGCTCTGGACTCTTACAACCCCCATAATATAATGGAAAAGAAAATGGAAACTACAGAGATTATAGGGATTACAGGGATTATGAGGATGATGGGGAGTCAGTTTTAATTTTGTTGTCCATGCTCACTTCTATTTGATTCCCCTTTGCATGCATCTGAGTCACCGTTGGATCCAAGCAGCACAGCTCGCGGCTACTTTGCGCCGCTTTACTGGCTGCTGTTCTGCAGCACATACAGTGACCTGATTCTCACATTCTCTCTAGCATGATGGGTACCGCTTACTCCTATAGTAGAGAATCAAACGGAAAAGAAAATGGACAAATGAGATAGAAATTGTGGTTATATAGGCTAGGTGGTACTAGAGATTACCTTCTGGGGGTCCGCATAAGAAGGATTATAGTATTTTGGGTCTACATTGGGGTCCCCCTAGTTTGGGAAACTGTCAAGTGATCTGCTTGTCAGCTGAGTAGCGTTCTTCCTTATATAAAATACTATACCCCAAAGGAGGATATAATCTTACTCTATAATGGGTATCATAATATCTCCACATAAAATACTACTCAAATGAGGGTAACCCTAAACACTAAATCCTAAACCCTAAACCCTAAATCCTAAACCCAAATAAACTCCTTGTCAGCTGAGTTACCCAGGGGACGGCTGGCTGCGGAGAGGCCTGCGGGCAGTGCCTCGCGAATAGCAGCCCAGGTGGCACCGGGGATGCCCTGAAAGGGTTTTAGGGCTTTAGGGCTTCAGGGTTTTAGGGTTTTAGGGGTTTAGGGCTTTAGGGCTTTAGGCTTTAGGGTTTGAGGGTTTAGGGTTTTTGAGGGTTTTTAGGGCTTTAGGGTTTAGGGTTTTAGGGTTTTAGGGCTTTAGGGCTTTAGGGCTTAGGGCTTTAGGGCTTTAGGGTTTAGGGCTTTAGGGCTTAGGGTTTCGGGTTTTATTTTTTAGGGTTTTTAGGGCTTTAGGGTTTAGGGTTTTAGGGTTTTAGGGCTTTAGGGCTTTAGGGCTTTGGGCTTTAGGGCTTTAGGGCTTCAGGGTTTAGGGTTTTAGGGTTTTAGGGATTTAGGGCTTTAGGGCTTAGGGCTTTAGGGTTTTAGGGTTTAGGGCTTTAGGGTTTTAGGGCTTTAGGGCTTTAGGGTTTATGGTTTTAGGGTTTTGAGGGTTTTTAGGG